TTTTTTTTTTTACTTACTGTTTGAAATTGCTATTATGACGTTTAATGGCATCCGTCAGTCCCGGGGAACTATGGAGATGTGCCGTTGGCTTTGGGAACAGCATCTGCTGTGACTGTAAAGTCCGATGCGGGAATGGTAGCCTTTGCATCACAGGATACACACATAAGCAGATACTCCCTCGTTGTGAGGCAGTTTTACTCTCCGGTGTCTCCTCTCCACAGCTCGTTGTGTTCGGTTTCTTTCAAAATATGACAGTCCGTCTTTCACTTTCTGTCTCCATAGTAGTCGATCTGCAGCTGATTTTTCCCATGTCTCTGTGCCTTTGTTGGTATCTATTAGGTCACGTTTGCATACATCTTTATAGCGCAGTTTTGGCCTTCCTGTAGGTCTATTCCCAGTTACCAATTCACTATATAGGAGATCTTTTGGAATACGACCATCCTCCATGCGGGAGACATGTCCCAGCCAGCGCAGACGTCTTTGCTTCAGTACACAATACATTAATGGTATTTTGGCTCTTGTGAGCACACATTCGTTGGAGACAAGGTCTCGCCATAATATACCAAGGATGCGTCTCAGACAGCGCATATGGAAGGTATTCAGTCTTTTTTCCTGTGGAGCATAGAGAGTCCCGGATTCGCAGCCGTACAGTAATGTGCTCAGGACACAAGACTCATAAACCTTATTATGACGTTTACCTAAGTAATATTCACACCTTTGAAATTATATGCTGGAGAAAAGCCACCAATTCAACCATCCGAAACATAGTGAGAAATTATGCTATCAGACAGACTGCGAGAAACACCATGGACCAGATTTTCTCGTGAACGCCATAGTTTGCTCAGTCCATTTCTTTCCCATTTCATCGCCTGTTTAGTGATTCACTTTTTGTTTCTCCTGCCCAATGTATGACCTTCTTCTTATAGATTTAAAACTGTATGTACAGGTGCTAGTCTTACTTGCCATAGTGGATGGCATCTCTACCAGGACTCTTGTTACAGTTATGGAGAAGGGAAGGTCTCCTGGACCAATGCCCAGGTACGTATGAATTAACGATTACTGGAGTCTTTCCGTCACCCAGACCACTGTTCTTTACTCTTTCCGTAGCAATAGGTTTGTTAGAAGATTCTAAGGCAGGAGAAGAATTGATTATTACCATGGAAAATTGTGATTTGCTTTTAAGAAAGACCGGAGGAGCCAGATTTTCTTAGTATGTTAGACCAAATATAAGAAGTAAAAGAATGAATAATTGTTTTGGAAATTTTGGGCGCTAGCAAATAACACCTCATGCGTGTCTTGGTACTGAAAAAGTTAAACTCAAGGGCCGTGGCAACACTGGTGGCCGGTGGAAAAATATAGGTGGGCCACCATAAAATTCTGCCTAATCATGTAATAGGACAGGGTGGGTAGTTTCTCTCGTCCAGGATTGCAGCTTATAGGCTTAACACCTCAAGAATGAGACATGTGATATTCAACATAGCAAGTCAGCATTTAAAGACGTTAGCTGAACATTGTGATTATCATGAAAAACCCAGGCTGGCCCAGTTGTCTCCTGTTGTGTTTCTTGTCTCCATACATAAATGCAATCATTGTGTGACCTGTGGATATCACTCCAGAAAGAACGTCTGTATTTGAGTTATAGAGCTATCAGATTGTTGGTCTTTGTTTTGCCGACTTTCTTTTTCTTTTACTTTTTTTTTTTATTGGTGAAAAGATTTTCTAAAGACATGTCAGTAAACAATTGAAATAAATCCAATAAATTAATGTTATTGCAGAGCTTTATCTATCAGAATTAACGCTCCAGTCACGTATATCATATTTCTCTTGCCTCTAAGCAGCAGCTATCACATTAGCTGAAAATGAAAATTTGGTGACACTGAATAGTAATAAGAAAATACTGAACATCTATACGATTGTTTGTGTTTGGTTGACTGTTAGGTGACTGTGACACCGTGTTTTTTTTTTTTTTTTTTTCCTGTTCTTGTGGACCGTGCGTGTACAAAGGCTGAGAAACATTGATCCATTCTTTCGAAGCGCTCCTCTTAGACTAACCGCCAACCAATGTCGGCCCTGTCATAACTGTTTTTAGACTGTATTTCTTTGTCCTAACGTAAATAAGGTTAGTTTCATTCCTTACGCACTCTTTCGTCCGAAATCCATGGCACAGCGCGCAATGACATGTTTGGTTACCACGTCCAACATTGTGTGAAAACAGAGACAATACTACCGAATGCTGTCATACGAAACTGCAGTCATATCAGTCTAAAACTTAAACAAAAGAACTCACTAGAACAACAATATAATTTCCCCCTTTTAATCCTGGTATCTCCACCTCCCCAAATCCCCCCCACCCCCCCCCCCCCCCCCCCCCAACTTTACGAAATGGTGGTGTTAGATTTGTGATCTTGGTTGATTTTCTAACATAACGAAATTTTTTTTTTTTGGAGCTATGAGCTTATTACATAATAGCTCAAATAAATATTATTCCTAATTTTATAAAATCAACCATATCATAAATCTAACCACTTATTTTTTTTCGGGGGGGGGGGGGGGGGGTTGGGGGAGCAAGGGTGTTTACACTAAACGCCAGGTTCAGCATAGGCCAAACTCAGAAGAAAAACATTAAACCAATAAACATGTATACAAAGATTCGCTGTATTGAAAACTAAAACTGGATGGAGCATACTGAGGAGCTAGTACAAGAACATGAATGCTAGTCTATACTAGAGCAGGTAAGCCTTTTATGGAATACACCTCAGCCTAATGGACTGAAGTAGTGAAAACGAACTTGTGAAAACCTATTTGAGGTCCAAAATATGACCTTACAAAAAATACAGAGAGCAATAAGAAGAATGTCTTCCATCGTTCCATTCAGCTTGAATGCCATTGGAATACCAACCGGCCAAACCTAGGAATCTCTCTACTGCATGTAGTGAGTGGTCTGGAATTCATGTTTTGTATTCTATTGTGACCGTTCACTTGTTCAAAGTTCTGAATCAGTAATCTTGAATTTTCTGTACACATTGCTGCAGTCTGGTGTGTCCAGTACGCTGTCTACATATAATAATCTGTTTCGTTCGTGTGGAGAGGTTGATTCAGTCCTCAGTGTTGTGTCCTGAATGGGAAGTGTTTTATTTGGTGTCTTGATCTGAGTTGTATTTCTCTCATAAGTTAAGTCATTACTCAATATTGTTTAAACAGCGCGTCACTTCAACGCAACATACTTTTGATTTTTTTTTTAAACCTTTAACTTTCATGTTATTTTGGAACAGGAATTTTGCCGAACATACGGTGGAAACCTGGCAGAGATAGGGAGTGATGACGAAGACACTTTTGTGAAGAATATGCTCACTACGAGGAAAGGTATCGTATGTGTGATTGAGTGAATGTGTGTGTGTGTGTGAATGTGGATGTGAGTGCTCTCACACACATTTCACACACTCATATATATATATATATATATATATATATATATATATATATATATATATATATATGTATATGTGTGTGTGTGTGTGTGTGTGTGTGTGTTGTGTGTATGTGTGTATGCATTTGTGTTTAAGTAAATAACTTTCATAGGCGTTGTGTTATATCTGGAATAAAGTGCACGACTAGTATTTTTATGCACCCTCGTTGGGGGATATGGTCAAAAGCAGGCCGGTGGATTTCAATTTTGAAGAGGACAAAAAAAGACATTCGTCTCGTAGCAGATTTGAACAAGCCCTTCGGGTCGACAGGCAAGCATCAAAGCGCTATGCTACCGCACCTCTAATAAATATGTAGCTCTTGAATCAACCCCCAGAAGTGGTAGGTTATGTCCTAACAGTACGCCTCTGGATGTTTTTTTTTTTTAGTTACGATAAGTTGCTTAGAAGAACGATGTGGTGGTTTCCCTTTGCTGTCCACATTCAATTGGCTTCAGACTTTGTGCACAGGCTTTGGCAACGTTTTAGATTGCCAAGACAAGTTATTGCCCTGCTCTGTATAATATTCCGGCTAACAGCAGATGGTATCCCAAAAATATCCACTTACACAGCTAGTGAACTGGCAAGAGACCGAGTTTCTTTCAAGCAGACCTCAATGAGAGCGACGTTCTGCAAAGAACCCGCTACATGCAGGTTTATGTATGATTTCTGTCTTGCAGTTAAAAAGAGTTTGTTTTGTGCTTAATTATAAATTGAAGTAAATTATGAGTCGGCCACCGTGACTTAGGCGTTGCGAACACGCTTCGTAATACCGTGGTGATAGGTTCGATCCCGGCTGCGGGCCTCGCGCCTTGCGTTTGTTTCGACAGTGGTATCCAGAAGCCGATTGTGCAGGGAGCAATGGCAGACTACTGGACGTAAACTTGACTAGAAAAACCACAACAGCCAAAAAAGTGCTGGGGTTGGTTTTACAATATCATGTGAGGATCACGTAACAGGAACTGTATGATCGATATTCATAAAAAGAAGTGTATAGAAGAAATCACACACTATACAACAAAAATATGAAAGCTATAGTTACTGTGCCGGGAATTGAACCTGTCACCTCCAGACGGCGTCTTAACCATGAAAACAAGTTTCAAAAAGAACATGGTCAAGGCACCCCAAAAAAGATGTCTTATTGGCCATGTCTATCTACAGCTTAAATCTATGGAATACGGACATAATATAGGGCAAACCTATTGAAATGGACCTGTTCCCATAAATTTATATGAAGTTTTTACAACTGTAGATTATTGCTTTGTCTAGATCCCAAACACTTTAAGAAAGATCCATGGGCTAGGCTTCGGTGTGTATACTGTCTTCATATAAATCACGGGGGGACCTTTTTGAGGCCGTTAAATATTATGAATTAATAGTAACAGAAAGTATGATTTCACACTGGAAAGAAGTAGAAAGTTTCAGAACCATGTACCCCGGACATTTACAAGTCGTTGTTTCGCTGTATTAATTTTAATTACGTTTGATATTTAATTGCTACACATCTCGTTCTTTTTTCATTGTTTTTTTCCTCGTGCTTTAAGTGATTGTGCATATAGTCTAGTTTTTTGCCCCTGTTCCCATTTGTGCTTCAACTGGATTTAATCCCACGACTTTTTCTTGATTGCTTTTAGTCTCGTTCTTTTATTGAATTGTTATAGAATATTTGTCTCGTTTTTTCTTGGACTGCTTTTAGTACTCGTTTTTTTACTCGGTGATTTTGCTGTTTAATCTCGTTTTACGTTTTGATATTTTTGTCAGTCTCGTCTTGTCCTTTCTTTATTGCTTTCAGTCTACCAAGCTTGGATCGGGGGGACTGATATCTTGCACGAAGGGCATTGGGAGTGGATCAGTACTGGGAACGACTTTAGCTCCTATGCGAACTGGGCGCCCGGTCAACCTGACAATTCTGGATCTGGTATAGTACATTTATTTGATGTCGAATGTTGGTTAGACTGTTTGGGTGTGGGTTTGACTGTTTAGTAGAATGTGGGTAGACTGTTTGGTTGAATGTTGGTAGAATGTTTGGTTGCATGTGAGTACAATGTTTGGTTGCATGTGGGTACAATGTTTGGTTGCATGTGGGTAGAATGTTTGGTTGTATATGGGTAAAATATTTGGTTGTATGTGGGTACAATGTTTGGTTGGATGTGGGTACAATGTTTGGTTGCATATGAGTACAATGTTTGGTTGGATGTGGGTAGAATGTTTGGTTCGATGTGGGTAGAATGTTTGGTTGGATGTGGGTAGAATGTTTGGTTGGATGTGGGTAGAATGTTTGGTTGGATGTGGGTAGAATGTTTGGTTGGATGTGGGTACAATGTTTGGTTGGATGTGGGTACAATGTTTGGTTGGATGTGGGTACAATGTTTGGTTGGATGTGGGTACAATGTTTGGTTAGATGTGGGTACAATGTTTGGTTGGATTTGGGTAGAATGTTTGCACATGCATTTTCACGTAGGCAGAAAGAAAGGCAAAAGAGGCAAAGCTGAAAGATGATGGATGGATGAATGATGGATGTAGGATGGATGGAAGGATGGGGATGGAGATGGAGGATGGAGAATGATGGAGGGGATGGCAGAATGGAAGGATGGCTGGGAGGGAGGGATGGAATGATGGAAAAAATGGGAATGATAGTAAGGACACTGGAAGGATGAACAATGCGAAAAGGTAAGTTTTGATGGAAGGGAGCAGACATACATAAACAAGGATGAAAGAAAGAGAAAGAAAGTAAGAAAGCAAGAAAGAAAGAAAGAAAGAAAGAAAGAAAGAAAGAAAGAAAGAAGAAAGAAGAAATGATCGAAAGATGGATGGATGGGAAAAAGAAAGAAAGGAAAGAAAGAAATGAAAATTGGAACGAAAAAAGCAAAGGTGTAAAGAGAAAGATAGGTGTTGAAAGACAGAAGGAAATGGACTACGAAAGAAAGATAGACATATAAAGAAAGAAGAAGAAAGAAACAAACAAAGAAAAAACAAAATAAACAAACAAATAAAGAAAAATAAAACAAAGACAAAAGACTGTTTGAGAAAAGAAAGAAAGAAATGATATCAAGTGAAGAAATCCTGTTCATATTTCCTATCAGTGACAAACCATTCACAAAAAGATCAGTGACACCCTGTTCACATTTCCTATCAGTGACACACTGTTCACATTTAAAGATCAGAAAGAAAGACACCCTGTTCACATTTCCTATCAGTGACACCCTGTTCACATTTCCTATCAGTGACACCCAGTTCACATTTTCTATCAGTGACACCCTGTTCACATTTCCTATCAGTGACACCCTGTTCACAAGAAAATAAAGAAGTGACACCCTGTTTCACATTTAAAGATCAGTGACACACCAATCACATTTCCTATCAAAGACACCCTGTTCACATTTAAGAAATCAGTGACACCCATTCACATTTCCTATCAAGTGACAAAGAAAGAACATTTCCTAAAGAGAAAGACACACCATTCAAATTTCCTAAAGAGTGAAACCCTGTTCACATTTCCTATCAAGAAAGAAACCCTGAAACGAAAGAAAGAAAGAAAGTGACACCCTGTTCACATTTCCTATCAGTGACACACCATTCACATTTCCTATCAGTGACACCCTGTTCACATTTCCTATCAGTGACACACCATTCACATTTCCTATCAGTGACACCCTGTTCACATTTCCTAGCAGTGACACCTTGTTCACATTTCCTAAAGAAGTGAACACATTCAAAATTTCCTATCAGTGACAAAAAGTTCACATTTCCTAAAGAAGTGACAAACCATTCACAAAAGAAAGATCAGTGACACCCTGTTCACATTTCCTATCAGTGAACACCTCAGAAAGAAAGATTTCCTATCAGAAAGACACCCTTTTCACATTTCAAACCAAAGTGACACACCATTAGAACATTTTTTGGTGATATCAGTGACACTCTATTCACATTTCCTCTCAGCCGAAGACTGCATGCAGTATCAACAATCTACATCGGGTACTTATATCTGGAACGATGCGTCCTGCAACAATCTCTTCAATTTTGTTTGCGAAGCAGAGTAAGATACCTTACTACTATACTGTTAGTTATTTAGTTGGTTAGTTAGTTATATAGTTAGTTAGTTTGCTGGTTAGGTAGTTAGTTAGTTAGTTAGTTAGCTGGTTAGTTAGTTAGTTAGTTAGTTAGTTAGTTAGTTAGTTAGTTAGTTAGTTAGTTAGTTAGTTAGTTAGTTAGTTAGTTAGTTAGTTAGTTAGTTAGTTTAGTTAGTTAGTTAGTTAGTTAGTCTACCGAATATTCTAACTGCACTTCAAACCATTCAGATCCCCCGGTTCGGTCCCCCCGGTCCCGGCATATCCCACATCGGAGGTCGGTCGGTCGGCTCGGTCGGTCACCCGTCGGTCCGTGTTCGGTCTGTCGTTCTTCCGTCTTTGGCGGTTCATACAGTTAGTTAGTTCTTGTCTGCATACCCCTCTTAGTTAGTTAGTTAGTTAGTTGTTTTTTAGTCTGGTTATGGTTAGTTTAGTTATTCAATTAGTCGTTAGTTAGTTACATCTAGTTAGTTTAGTTAGTTTATAGTTAGTTAGTAGTTAGTTAGTAGAAAAAAAGTTTAGTTAGTTTTAGTCCCTTAGTCTTTAGTCACGTATAGTTACGTATAGTTAGTTAGTTAGTTTCCTTGTTAGTTGTTAGTTAGTTAGTTAGCTTAGTTAGTTAGTTAGTCATGGTCAGCAGTTAGTTAGTTAGACCAGTTAGGCACAAGTTAGTTAGTATAGTTAGTTAGTTAGTAGTTAGTTAGTTAGTTAGTTAGTTAGGCAGTTAGTTAGTTAGTTAGGTTAGTTAGTTTTTTATAGACCAGTTAGTTAGTTAGTTGTTTAGTGTAGTTAGTTAGTTGTTTAGTTAGTTAGTTATAGTCGACATAATATCCTAACTGCACATCAAAACCGTTTGAAATCCTATCCCCCCCCCCCCCCCCCCACTTTTTTTTTCGGCATATCCCACAGCAGGTTGCGGCTGACGACACCAGTCCTGTGTTGGTCTGTTTTCTTCTTTGGCGTCATGCTTACTGTTCTTGTCTGCACACGCCCCTTTTAGCATGTCGTTCTTGCAGTCTGGTCATTTTTGCAGATTCAGTCATTGCTTGGCTCTCACATCTCGTAGAACATTTGGTATATCAGCAAGGTCTGCCCCCCACGGTAGCTTTATCTGCAAGCTTGCAGATGTGGATCGGAAGTTCGTGAGACTTTTTATCAAAAAATGAGCTTAACTCCCAGGTCGACCCAGCCTGGAGTGGGTACAAGGTACAGTCCCGGAATGTAAAGATGACCGGGATGATGCTGACCATTTAACTTATCTTGTGCCGTTTGGTCTATAAAAATATTGGTCTAGCCCTATATGCCCTATACGCCTCAAGGCGTGGAAAAGGGTCCTTTACTTACTTTACTTACTTTGCTCATCATAATTTGTATCATATACAAGTTTTCACAGTGATATTCAGTGTTATATTATAGTGAGAATACCGTAGTAGATATCCCACCGAGATTAAATCCGTAGGATGGTCTTTGCAGTCCTGGTAGCTTGTCCCCTTATGAATACTTCTTCTTATTCTGCATACTCTCTTAACAGGATGTTGGCACGTCATGTTGTGGTTCACAGTCAAGCTGTGACCTCTGCGCCATTCGACCCGAAACATCCGACTGTAGAAAAATGCTAAATTAATCCTTTCTTAAGACATGCTTTTTTAGAGCAGGAGTCTATTGCTGCTTTCAAAATTGCGTCCCGAACCCAAAACGGAGTCTACCCTGAACATTCTGGAAATTATCCATCAAGAAAGATTGGCTGATAAACAGCATCTTGTCTCTGAAGCCGAAATGTTTTGGTCGTATCAAGCGCCATGGCCGATTGGACAAAGTAATAGCAAAAGGCATGGTACCAGGAAGGAGGGGCAGGGGCCGACCAACACGAAGATGGACACAGGATATAAGTGACTCCTTGAATATGAAATTATACGAACCGGGAGAGCTTTCTTATAGGCAGACGGCAATGAGAGCGACGTTCTGCAAAGGACCTGGTACATGATGTGAATCGAAGACTATTTATTTGTGAGACTTAGCGATCCCAAAACAGTCTTAGAAAGATAACATTCTGCCACGTTTTAAGAATTAAACCAGGTAACTGTCTTTTTGTAAGAAGTCGAGGTCGCGTGGAGGCTAAATGCTCACCTGTCAACCGAATGGTCTTAGGATCGAGTCTGCAGATCATCTTATTTTTGTAGTGCTGCTCTTGTCGTGAAGCATGACGGAGGGCAGTTTTATGTCATTTCCAGTCTTTTGCTAGTTGCGTATCTCATGTTGATGTCATACTGCGTTTCTGCATTGTCTCTTTTACTCAACCCCAGCCCCACCAGTTTCCTTCTTGGTCGGCCTCTTGACTTGTAGCCTGTTGCTCTCATGTAGTACACTCTAGCGTTTGATATTTTTGTTGGTATATTACAGGTAAAAAATTTCATTAAGATTGTTGTTAGACGGTTGAAGGCGCACTCCGACTGCGGAGGAAACACCCAAAACATGCTGGTAAGCGGGCATTGGGTGCATTATATTTTTTTCGTTTCCTACTTATTTGTTCACCAGAGAGGTCGGCAACACGCCGAGCAAGTTTAGCAAGTGTACTGAGTCTCCTAGTTTTCTTTCTGTCTTTCTTTCTTTTCGTTAACAATTCCTCCATTTTCGTTTAATTGCATACAATTTTAATTACGTCTTTTTCAGAGCTTTGTCTTCTAGATAGATAGACCACCAAGAACGACACCGGATTTCTAGTCGATGATCTATCTACTCATGCAACTGTTGTCAAAGAATTATATCATCGTTCACTAATGGATTTTTTTTCTCTGTATTACAATGCAGGTACCAACCTGTTGTGACGCTTCTGAAAGAATCTCTTCTATATTACAAGCATGCATAATTAGGGTGTTTTTTCTACAATACAGAAATCGATCTTGAAGCACAGCAGAATAAAATAATGCGTTCTTTACAGAATCTTCCAGTGTCCGAACATTCTTCGGTATCTCTCGTCTGCCTCTTTGTCTATTGTCGTATTAAAAGGTGGATTTGCTGCTCTTTGATCTATTATATCTCTGGAAAGATTTGAAAACCGAACGCAAAGTAAATCAGCCAGCTTCATAACATGACGAACACAAAATATATTTATGTAACAAAGAATATTATTTCAAACCTTAAAGATGAACAATGTAGTTGTGAAGTAACTTTACACCAACAACTTACAGGTTCGAAATATAATTATATGCTTACATTCTAAGGGTTTAAAAGTTACTGCAGTAAAATCTCGTTAACACAAATTTCACAAAATCAAAACAAATTAAAAGTTTATGTTAAAACAATTTGAAAAAATCCCCTTGTGCATTGCCATTCTTTGTTATTTGAAGCCCCACACTGGCTTTTTCCGGGGGCCCTAAATATAGCTGGGCCATTAATGGGGCCATAACGACTGAAAGGGTTTTTTGAACCTCTCTACGGTGATCCTCATCCGTGTGGTAGCACTTTGTGTCACCATTTGTTTATCGCTTATGTGATGTCCTGGTGGGATACAACAAGCAAGCAAGCAAGGAGTTTGAAAACTGTGACGTTCCTATTTTTGTAATCACCTTCTCAGGGGTTAATGCTTCATGTGCCCCTAAAGAGTGTCTTATTTCGGGCACTATTCTACACATTACAGCTCTATTCACAGTGTTTTCGGCTGCTTAAGTCGCTAACAGTATTAGGACGAGGCACTTGAGTATATGGATCAACAACCTCATTCGAATACCTGCCACCGTTAAAGAACATACGCTCAAACAAAAATACTCTTTCTTCAATATTTAACACCATGATACAAAAACATCTATGCTTAGCCGTGATATTCTAGACTAACGGTTACATAGTTATACAGCGCTTGAAACATTACGTAATACACAAATCTAATTACGGCGCACATATCACTGATCTCAAAAAATCTACTGTCATTAAGAGTATACACTATACTCCTTATGCTAACAGTTGTCTTCTTTTTTCTTTTTTTCCCCTCTTCTTTCTCCTGGTATTCTTCTTCTTCTTCGCATTCATTGACTGTAAACTTCGGTAGAAAGTTTCACTTTTCACTTCCGGACTTTCATCTTGTTCCAGAATAATGGCTTAGTGTGCACATCAGTTTTACAGATTTTGCTCATTAGTATGCAGTCTTTTTCTTCGCCTATCAGTCAGATCTACTGCGACATCAAAGGAAACTCCTAATTAGACACCTTCTACGACATACTTGTCTTCATGCCCCCACCCCCCCCCCCCCACCTCCCCCCCCCCCCCAACGAACTCTCAAATAGGCAACGGAACCCACAAACAGTTTACGAATTTAAACAGTAGCGTTTTGACTGAAATCTACATGTTACAAAAGTGACTCTGTGCCTACAACTGACAGATTTGAAAAGTATCCTTTCGTCAAGTATTTATAGGTTCCAAACGTAATTTAGTGCTTTCTACTGACATATTTGAAATGTATCCTACTGACAGATTTTGAAAAGGTTCTTTTCGTCAAGTATCTATAGGTTTCAAAAGTAACGATGTACCTACTACTGACAGATTTGAGAACTATCTTTTTTTCCCCCTAATATTATTAGGTTTCCAACTCAACTTTTGGCATGCACCTTCTACTCACATGATTTTTTTTTTTTAAGTAACCATTTTCCCCACTTTGTAAATTTTCGAAAAGTAACTATATTCCTAAAACAGTGGAAAGCGGGAAAATGAGATTTAAGAAAAAAAAGCCTTAACACTTTCTTCTGCGCCGTTGTGACACAGCTTCTACAGTATTCAGTGCAAAGTCCTAGTTTTTTAGTGCAAACAACAGATAAGAAAATCAAGTAAAAGGCAGTCCCTAAAACGGTTGCTGGCGTTACATTCAAAGTGTCAGCCATTCGAATATTCTTGGCCACGACATATGAGTTGGAAAAAAAGGGGGGCATGGGATGGTGGTCTGCGTTGTGGTGGTGTGGGTGAATTCATTCCTGCCGATCCA